CCAACACCCTTGCAGCATTTTTGCTACCATTTGATTCAGCAACATGGGTTCTCGTAGTCCTTTCTTTCATAACACTTTCAAGCTTAATCCCGATTTCGGTTTCTGCTTCTGGAGTCAGTCATCGATTTGTGTTAAAGAAATACATTTCAGAGGATATTTTTGAAGTTGCCGCCATGCTTTTGGGGCAAAGTGGACGAGGTTATGCTACCAAAATATTTGCCAATAGACGCGTGGGTCTGATTATCTCGACCGTTTGGTTGTTTGGGTGTTATATTCTCATGGAAAATTTGTATCAGGGAGCACTTTTTTCGTTTTTGACGGTGCCTGAGATGCCCAAGGTACCCCGGACGATGGAAGATCTCATAACCTCCAAACTTCCCGTGTTAACGACAAGTGGGTTCATGTACTATATTCTTCTCGAAAACAGATTGATGCCCACCACCCAATACGCTTCGACCCTAAAGGATATCCTGATACCAGAGTTATCAATGGCGACAAGTCCCGCATATCAAGAGTCCCTCGATTCCTTCGACAAGCGACTTACCTTTCTCAACCCCGTACAATTTTGACATTCTAAAGACAAGCTAAAGACATTGTCCGAAACATTTCAAATTCTAAACCTCTCCCACGAAATTTCGAGACAAGTGAAACCTTCGTCATAATGAATGACGCCGACGATTTAGAATTACACACGGAACCAATAAGATTTCTGGGTAAACGGTTTGTCATCGATGGTCAGGGTGAGACAGGGTTTCAAATGACCATTGTAATGCATGGATTCAGAAATTTCATATTTCCCCGGTTTTACTCCACCTACGGGAGACTAGTGGACTCGGGGTTAGTTGAGACATGGCGACATTTAGTCTGGTCAGCGTCTCGAATCAGAAAAATGAGAAGGGATTGGAAGCAAGTGTAAAAAAAATATTACGCCCAAATTAATAGCCATATCAAGTTTCAGCCAGAATTTGACGAGTTAGGCCTAGTCTCATTGGATGCTTTGAAGTATACTTTTGCCATATGTGGGACAGTGTTGTGTGCGAGCGTAATAATTTTTCTTGTCGAGTGGAGGGCCCAAATTGTGAAAGTTTCTCAGAGAGTGAAGGAAGTTGTGAGTGGTGTTTTAACCAGGTGGGTGGAAGGTTCGCAAAAAGTTTGTAAAGATTTTGGGATGTCTATCGCTCGAAAGATTGCTAGAATTTAAATGTACGTGTCCTTATGCGTAATGATGCACCTAAGTTGACTTTGATACTCAAGAAGACAAGTTGATGTACATATGAGCAACCTTGAATATCCCTGACCGGTCAGTCAATTCAATGCTGTATGATTAAATATATTCTTTGCTGATTGTTGGTGCTAAATAAGTAATAAAGTACACATAAGAGCCAAGTAATTAATTAATTCCTAATGAACATTTACAAATTCGCCCATTTGGGGAACATTCGCTGTGAGTGTACGCATTTAGATATGTAACAAAATTTTAAAGGTTGTTCCGGATTTTGTCTATTGACTATTGCTTTAAGTACATTTGTAAGCAGTGATGGACTTATGTGAACATTCGGTCCGATACATGTTGCATACATGCGGAAAAGTTTGTTTTTTCGGTTTACGTCAAGGAGAATAAATTACTAAGGTGAAAAATAATTCTAACAGGGAACAAACCGCTTTGCATATTAGATTACCAAATCCAGATCGTACTTCGGATAAGGATAATAATTTCCCACATAGATACTTAGGTATTTATTTGTCCTGACTAAACACATATTATGTGCGCACCATCCGAAAAACATTTACGGGATGGCATCGATACTTCTAACCTTTTGTTATAATTAAATAGCAACAATGGTAGACCATTTACTCCGCTTTCGAATAATTATAGAACTTTCGTTGCATAACGCAAAAAATTTTACACCAGGATTTTACATACATAAACACAACTTGCATTTATGTATGTAAAATTTTGGTCCGGTTGGATAACTATAGGGCCATGCAACTCGTACTTTAATATTCCTGCTTAACTTTACTTTCATTGTCTTATGGTTGTCGAATTTCGAATGTAAGTCAATATTTATTCACTAGTGATACAAAGTAAATGGTGCAATTTTCTGCGCAAATCGCTACGTGACAGTTAGTGTACCTATTTACATATGTATATGTTTTATTTCGTTTGTGCACACCTGGCATAATTTAACAACATGGTCAAAGTTTAAAAATTGCTAATATGTATGTATCTTATCTTCATAATCGTCGCATGATTGTTATCGTAGGCGACACGAAAAATGAGCAACGACTAAATAGGTGCATATAGTGGTTGTGTGCAAATATCAGTCTCAGTTCTAAGCAGTGCTAAATAAATTGTACACTATTTTTCGCAATATGAGATATTTGCAGCATTCGTGCTTGTTAATTATGTAGATAAGCCTGTCTGTCTTTAATTTGGTTGAATAATATACATAATCGTCAGCCAGAAGAAAACCTTGAACAAAGACCTTTAGAAATTTTGAATGGAATTTCATTCCGTACTTTACATCCATGCGGAACTTGGTGCACATTTTAGCACTTCATTGTTTGCAAAATAATAAAAATGGTAAAATTCATTCGGCCCTTAATAATAATCTGGATGGAGGTACTTTTGACTACTAAATTATCATCTCAGTTACCCTCACCAGCATTTGGTACAACTGAAGAACCGAACATTTCTGGTCTTATAGCCTCCTCAAATTGTGTAACTCACATCGTAACAGATAATTTCATAAGTTTGAATACCCCGCCAAAGAACCCACTCCAAGTTACCATAACTCACCGAAATTTTTCATGGACACAGCGTAACAAATATTTCCGGTTTAAGAATAACGAACGTTTCCTTACTTTTTGTCGATTTACGCTCCTCTACTCTAAGAAACCGTTAGACTCTAAAAAATTAGGGGTTTGGACGTACTCTTTTGTGATCACGTATTTCGGTGATACTCTAAAAGTAGGAATTTTTGGAAGGACATACACTCTCGGAATTGGTACAAAATTTGAAAATTTTTACGTGCTATGGATCTCAACGCGGTTAAGTGTCAGTGACAAAAATTCCGTAATTTACGATATTAAAGCCCGTTATCCCGGAATTATTCCAAACTTCGGAATTTTACTTTTAACCGAAACTGACCCAAAAATTTGTATCCACTCGCCAAAATTATCGATGCCATTGGCACGAAACTTGCTATGCTTTGAAGCATTAGCAACACTAAATGTGTTTAGAGTTCTTAGATTACCCCGAGTCGAACCGCTTCTCTGTTTAAAAAATAAATTTAGCGGGCTTTTTGAGGACGCTTCTAGAAAGGAATTGGAAATCAAAAGCTTTAATGAAATCAAGACTGCGGCAGGATACATAATCGTGAAAATATTTGGCCACGATTTAAACATCAGTGTCGAAATTAACGTTTGTCCTTGTAACTCGAGACAACATTTGGTCACAGTGAGGACCGGGATGACAGCAGTGTCATCGCTAAACGACGGCTGGACTTCGACCGCTGTTTTTGTAGAGTCTGAAAATTTCCACTTTTTAACCTGCTATTCTCAGAAACAGATCGAATTTTGGTTTTTTGCCCAACCCTTTGATAACTTTACGTGGATAATAATTTTGCTTTGTGTTGGAGTAATAGCAGGAGCGATATTTTGTTACGAGGAAATATTTAGAGTGATGGAATTCAAGATGTTGTTCTCTATTAAGAAGAAAGTTGGGCTGGATTTAGTCGTTTTTTGGACGGCGGGAGTCTTGGTGGAACAAACGTTCGAAACGGCGAAGGAGACTAAACTCTGGGGTGTTCGAGTGCTAATTGCGGCTTGGATTTTGATGGCTACCATAGTTACGAATGGGTACAAAAGTTTGGCAATTACGGGACTAAACGCCCCACTGCCGAGCAATTTTCCGGAAGAATTTCAGGTTTGGAGTATAAAATTATGTAAATATGGGGAACAAAATTGGATAATACATCAAATATTTGTTACTGAACGGTTACAAAAATTTTCCCGCCAAATTTAAATTCTACATACGTATTTCAACCTGGTTTATTACTTAAATTCTGTAACAATTTTGTTGCCAAACTATTGGTAAATTTTGAATACAATACAAATTGTTCTCTTTAGGATATTACATGCAAAATGGAAAACTTGACCCATGAAAATGCTGCCAGAATGATTATGGGCTTCGGCCAAGGCACAGCTGGAGAAGGGAACTGCGATTTCGGAAAAAATCCAACATGCGACACCTCATGTTTTCGCTTAATGTCGAAACCTCGGGCACAAAACTCGCCTGGAATAACGTACCTCCGACAAGCGGGCTACTCTTTGGGGATGGATTTAATACAGACGATCGGCTTCGAAAGCGAAATAATTTCGGGGAACAAAATACTTGCGGAAATTTTAAACCCGATCGTGCAACGATTTCCGGAAAAACTTATTGGTTTACTTACAGATACGTCGGGGACAAACTTTACTCTGGACGAGGTCAAACTTGCGATTGAGCAAGATATCCTGAAATGTTCTAAATCTGTGTATATCGCGTCTCGAAGTGAGATTCGGATGTATCGACATCACTTGAAGAAAAAGTACCCATGGACAAAAATGTTACATATGAGCAAAGGCTATTTACATATGCCTGCGCTTCTTTGGAAATTTGACATTTATGAGAGTCACGAATTAGTGAAGGCTTTTAAGGCAATTGTTGAAGCTGGAATTTATAAAGAGTTGGTGGATTTCGAAAAAATTAATAGCTTCAAGGGATCTAATGATATAATTAGCATAAATGAAAGGATTGGAATTGATGAACAGTCGGGGAAAGTGAAGTTGAACGGGAATATTCAAACGGTGTTTTACATTCTCTTTGGAGGATTAAGTTTAGCGGGAGGGATTGAAGTTGTGATGTTTTTAAAATCAAAATTGTTACATGCTAATCAAAGCGCAGTTATGTTAATGGATTCATCTAGTTATTAGAAATGAAATGGTTTTACGCAATATTTAGTCATTTAGGTAAATTAAAATATCGATAACTTTAATGCTAGAAATACGTTAAGTATTTAAATATATAGAATAGCAAAAATTCAAGAATTTTTCACCTTAGTAATTAAAATTTGAGCACCAAAATTCCGACAAATAAGTGACTTACGATGAGATGTTTTGTAATTTTAAAATTCATCCGGTTGAAATTTGAGCGTCGTTACCGACACCATCGCATCAATTATTAGTGAGGTCATATTGCTAGAAAATATTATGACCGTAGGCATTTAGTTAAACCATGGTATTGTAAGCATTATATTTAACCGTATACAAATACATAATTTGAACTCTTTGAACTTCATTGTTTTTAGTCATTTTTGATTTCATGGATCACTCGGTCCAGCTCTTGATCCGACTTGACCACAGATTCCCACTCATGCCGGAAATCTTGGTTAGTTTCCGGTCTTTCATTTCCCCCTTTCGAATTTGGCTTGTAAGCGTACAGCGATGTCATGCCACACCCCATAAAAAGCACGGCGGCGGGAACCGCGAACGGAAGAGTGGGTTGCAAAGCGAGGTAGATGACCGTTCCCAAAACCACCGAACCCAGCGTGATTGTTCCCACTGTTTTCGGTGAGGTTCGGCTTTCGTCCCGGTTCAAATCCCACTTTCTCAAGAGGAACTCTAAAATTAAATTAACCGCTTTTAATTAGACCTTCTCAAAATACCCCAATTCTTGACTTACGAAACTCTTGTGCCACCATTTTATTGTGGTGATATGCATCATAAACGTAATTCAACCCGATTTTGAACTGCACTTCGTTCCTTTGACACTGCATGTTCGCAACGTTTGTTTTTAAGTCTGCCAAAATCCCGCTAATTTTGTCAAGCCGGTTTTCCGCTTCGTGAAGAATTGCAACATCGTCAGCTTGGCTCTCTGAAGAAGTTACCATGTCGGAAATTTTCTGCAGAAATTCGATCTTGTCTTTGAGACACGTCTCTAATTGCGTAATACTGGTTACAAGTAGTCTCATCGAGTTGACTTGTTCTGATTCTGTAAAAACTGTGACGACATGATATTCCATGATTTTCCGTTTTTTTCGCAAAATGTTGCAAAATTTTTAACTGTTTTAGTATTCGGCGAAGAATATGTGCATACTCAAGCTATGTTAAGTCTGAAGTGGGACAAAGGATAAAAGAGGCTTCGATAATAACTACTAACGGCTCAATGTCCGATATCTTGAGTAAGTAAACATGTATATGAGCTACATATCTATGTATTGACATATGAATGTATGAAATCAGAACTACGCAGAATTGTGGATTCCTTATGATTATGCATTGCCAAAGTTTTGACAGGTTATAACTCAATTTTATTGATTTGCCAGGACCCTTATCTTGTATTTATATTTATTTATGTACGAGAGTATTTCTGTGGGGGCTTATCCTGCGGGTATTTATAAATACGGGGTAATAACATCACAATGTTTTTCATTTATGTTTTTGCACACTGTATGCATAAATGCATATCTAAACACTAGACGTGTTGGAGACGTGTATGTAACTTTACGAGTAATTTGTCAAACAAATTTTTCAAAAAATTATTGTTGCTACATAATTTTGCTAACTCGTCGTGAATACGTTTTACATATTTATATGGGCAGGATGTATGTACAATGTGCATACTACATACATACATACATGTGTTAATGCTATTCTTAGGTTGAACCATACATAAGTCTATGTACATAAGTGGATGATTATCTAAGCATTGGCATATATTTACATAAACTATTTAATAGAACATGCCGGAAGTACATAATTCTGACTTCGCTGAATTTATCGACACTATCTTGACATGAATTTACCGTTGGTACTATATTTTGTATTTTAAGCGAATCTAAATAATTGTTGAATTAACAAAAAGACCGTCATAAACCACCAACAGTAGCTACAATTGTTTATGTAAGTCTTTTTAAGGTAAGCAATTTGAAATAAATGCATCGTTTTTTATTAGACAAGTATTTATGTAAAATATTTAGTCATGAATACGTAGAAACCTGATGCTTAATATTACACTTTCAAATTTGCACAGGTCTGCTCAATTTACTTGCATATATGTATATGCATATGTTATTCAGTATATTTTGCTACGCTAAAGTGTACAGCATTTTACCAAGTGAGTAATATAAAGTCTAAATATTAACCTCTTTATTGTCAACACTAAAGTACTACATACATAACAATTAATTGTTCGAAAATTAAGAAAACATTATTGAATTCTAGTCTAAGAAATGTACATAATTAAATGGAGCCGTAGAAAAAGAAGAATTACTTATGTATCAAATTTAATTGGAATCTTATTCTTGTCAATGAAGGACATCATCCATTTCCATGTTTCTTCTTGCCACTGTAAATATTAAAACAATCACACTACTTCAAAACACCAATTTAAGCATTCATACATATTTCTAAAAAATACTCACTAGAATTCCTGAAATAGTTACGTCTTCCAATCCCCTCATTTTCAAGAGAAACTGTTTTATCAGCCTCGTTCCATCTGCGACACGTTTCAAGTCATCGTATACGGAGACCAATCGCATTTCCAAATTTTGGAGACCTGTAATAATGCAAAAAATGAATTAATTATCACACAACACTCCCATCAATTAATTTCCTTTACCTGGCACCAATTTTCCACAATTGGAAAAACCTTGCAGAAATTTCGACAATTGTCTATGATGATTTGCCAGCCCCAAATCTAGATATTTTAATCCGAGTGAAGCACACGCTCGTAGATGTGGTCCCACTTCCGTAATCACATCGTCCAAGTGTAACTGCTGAATTGATAAAACTTCCAAACTTGGGAACGCCGTCCTCAATCCAATAATTGATTCGGGGTTATCAACATAGGACAAGTGGAGGTTTTTTACTCCACTAAATAAACCCTTCTCTTCCTTAATATTCTGTAATAAATCGTCCAAACTGTCTTCCCACTTAAAAATCTCCAGCGTTTCCAAAGTCGGGATTCTCGCTGAGCAAATATCTTGAAGTCGGTCCCCACAATTAAACAAATCGAGCAAGTTGTTTCTGAATTCTTTAAGGTTCTTCATTCTAGGAAGGTGGAAATCAACCAGTGGAGATTCTTCATTTTCATGAGTGCCCAAAATGTGCAAAAATTCCAGGCGATCTTTTACTTGGTCCAACATCTTGTTCAGTCCGTGAACACCGCTGCCAGTGGGGGAATTTTTTGTTGTCAGTTTATCCATATCCAACGTAATCGATTTAAGGGCCAAATGTTGACTTAAATCTGGAAAATATTTGCCACGGTAGATGAGACGGGTCAATTTTGAGGCAGAATTGAGGATCAACTGGGTCATCTCAAGGAAGCGAGAGTTCTCAAGAAAATCGTGTATTTCGACAGAGGTCAACTTTGGTCGGAGACTGAAGGGAACAAGAGCATCGGGGCTGCCGAGCCGTAAAGGATCGTGCGTTGTCCTTTGGACGCAAATTTTTAGTCGCTTCAAATTAGGGCAGTAGTTTTTCAGTATTTTGTACAACGTTGGGATGACGTCTTCACCCGCAAAGGTTACCGTCAAATCTACCACGGTTGGACTGAAGTGCTCGGAAACGTAGAGCAATTTGGTTTCAGCAGTACAGATTTTTTGGTGCGCAGGACAACGATTAGATAGACATGGATCTTCACCTATACATCTGGCCAGTTTGGGCTCCATATTCTCGCAAAATGACTTAAATGGGATGTCTGTGCTGCAATCGGAGTGTGTTGATAACCACCAGTTCCTCGAGGGCAAAGGGGAAAATCGAAGGGTCAACTTTGGTTGGGGAAGGGAGAGGACGATTTCATTCCATAAGTGGCAGACGAGTCGTAATGTTTTCCCAGGAACAGACTTGTTTTGAAATATGCATTGAAGAATCTGACAAAAATAGGGAATGAATGAGTTACTATTTAATTTGATTATAAAATATGGTTAAAAAATTGGGAACGTATTTACGATCGGATTTTGTATAGCTTGACGCATCTGGGAAATTTGTAGTTCTTCTTTCATATTTTCCAGAGATTCTAAACAAAAAATTTAAAATATATTTTACAATATTTTACAATCTCCTCAAAATACAAAATATAACTTACAAATTGTAAGTTACAATTAGAAATGTTGACCTCAGACAAGGACTGATCTTGAGTAGTTACAAACCCTCAAGCTAAATGTATACGACTTCAAAATACCATGAAAATTACGAGAATAATTATGAATTACTTTGAGAAAAGTTGAACTTATTTGTGAAAACTTTCATCAAAATCAGCGGTTTATATGTTGCCTAAACTGTGTGTTTGCCTCACGTTTTCATTCCGCACACCCCACGCGCTCTTTCGTCAGAAAGCATATTTACTTTTCCACGTCGCACGGTGGGCCAGGGATCTGAAAATATGGCCATTAAGGCAGTTCCGCTATTATGTATAAACCAATAAAAAGGTCGAATTATTAAATGCATACCGCTCTCAGATATTATTAACTATTTTTTTTTATCGAAATTGAATTTTGGACGGCTAATTAACTTACTTCAGGCCGAATTGTATTTTTGGCTGAAAATGTTTATACCTGGCCCACAGTGCGTCGTTTCGTTCTTTGTTTGCATTGGAGGGATTTCTTTGTGCACAAGAAAAAGCTGCCACTCACTCCTTCGCGATTTCTTGCCCAGTACGAGTCGAATCGCTCTCCGTGTTTGATGTTCGACGGGAATGGTTTAAGATTTTATAAAACTAAATTTCCTTACACATTTAATTTGAAATAACACCGACTGGAATTTAAAAATTTGATAACTAACGTTGAGTAAGTTGCGATAAAGTAAATTATTTAGATTAAAGAAGGAAATTTGCTAAACTACACGCATCACATGAAATTAAAGTTAATTTAAACTGCAACCAAAGATAAGGAAAAGAAACACATCGACATGAATCAGCTGCAATTCGTTAGACAAGTAAGTATTTCAATAAATATTTTGTCTTATCTAGTGAAGGATAATTAGTTAAAGGTGCGTTTTAATTCAATCATTTCTCTTCGAGTGAAAATCAAATCACGAAAGACTTAATTAATTTGTGATTATAAATATGCGGATTCTAAATTTCTTTGTAATTACAGAGAACTCTGCACTGCACCGATCAATTAACTGATGGTTTACACTTAAATTTTTCCTGATGGCGAACAGTTGTTCTAATTTTACTTGGTTTCTTGGACGTAAGTAAATCCTACATTTCATAATTAATTAAGGGTCGTAGAACAGAAGATTTTTCTATCTACTTATTTTGATCCTCCCTCACCTTCCCCCATTCGATTATATCATTTTGCCCAACACAACATGTCACAAAAGTCAAGGTTGCTTGACAACTTTAGTAATAATTACATTACATATTGTATTATGATAAACTGTCAAGCAATCTTGCACAAAAGTAGTTAATTTACATCATTTTGTTTGTTTTCTAGGTCGTCAAAGTTTCCTGCTTCCGAGTTTTTTCTAATTTCTTATCCAACCGTTTGATTCTGGACACTTTCCTAAATTATTATTCCCAGTAAGTAGATCACCTGTTTTATTTATGTATGGATCGATGTATTTATGTATTTATCTAATTTTAGTATTTTCGTTACTTTTTGTATAGCCCGCAATGCACTTTTAGTCTCCACGAATTGCAATGGAACTTCTACCACGGGGAGGATCAAATATTCTCCTAAATTTACAACTGTAGCCTCAATTTCCGTCATCATGACCGGACTGCCCTTCAGCCTCGACCTCGTCAGCTTCCTTCCACCGTTCCATTCTACTCGACGACACAGGTAAATAGTGCATATGGATCACATGGTTTAATAAATTGAGGGAATTCACGTCAAGTTCGTAACCTACGTAACTGCGTTAGGCTTGTAAGTTTACACACTCTTGACGTGAGTTGACTTTGTAAACATTTTCGTAAACTTTTTTTTAGTAAAAAAAATATCGTATATAAAACGTCATCAAAATGTTACTAGCCAACTTTATCCTAGCGTAAACCAAATGAAATGTAATTATTTTTGCCTAAAATATCAGTTTTTCAGGAATTACGCAGTCATTTCTTATGTCACAAAATTCTATAATATACCAAAATGATCGTATGATCAAGACCGATCGATTGACACCCCACACTGGATGAAGTGTGTCAATTTATCCCGGATTTGAAATTTGGGGACTGGTCGGATAGCGACCAGTATTTTCGACTGGCACTACTGGCAGCAATCTTTTGTTAAATAATTAAATTAATTTGCATGTTGATGGGACGAGATCACAAAAAATTACAATAGACAATTCGTCTCTAAGACAATTTCAACCGAAAATGCAAATATCAAACGCGAATTATTTACGAACTTTTGTTTACGAACCAAAAACATGCGTTTGAAGTGCGTAAGTTTCGTAAAAGTTCGTTAGTCAATTTTCCTTAGAAATGTGTGTAAAAGTTCGTAAAAGTTTGTAAGCTTACAAACCTTACGCAGTTACGAAGGTTACAAACTTTGACGTGAGTTCCCTCATTATGTATGAAAAATTATTAACATATTTGTATAGCTTTGCTTTTATTTACTGTTCAGGCTTGGCGAACTTTTGACGGAATCTTATTTTCTGCGTATGGAATCCAATATTCTCCCAAATTTACAACTCTTTCTGTCATCGCAACTGGACATCCCTCTACGAATTTTGTCGACCTCCAACCTCGTCGCCACATCGATAAGTAACCTCCTCTCGTCCACATTGAGTTGACATCGTTTCATAAAAATCTATAAACCAATATATTTAGCGTTTAACTTTCCATTTAAAAATCCTATTATTTTTTAAGTCCAAATTCTCTTCCTAGTGAAATTTATGCTAAAATTTATTGAGTACTTTAAACTTTCTCGCAATCTTCACTTTATCATTGGTTAGTCTGTTTACTATCCAGTCTATTTGAAAAATGGTTCCAATTTTAACACATTTGCGAATTTCTTGTTCTATTTCGTCTTTTTAAACTTATCCCAACTTGACTTCTTTCATAAACTTCGTTTTCTTAGTTCAATTTACATAAGTATGCCTTAACGAAATGAAATTCGGTGCATGGTTAGATATCTGTATTAATCAAGCAATAATTTTCTTTCGAGCGCCCTTAGAAGTCGTTTTAGAAAATAACAAAGTAAGTTATTATTCTTCACATTTCAAGATATCGGGATGTAGAAAAAAAGATGCAAATCTTGCTTGTAGATTTTGAACTTAAGCTGGATGTCAAAACAGTGGAGTAGAAACTTAAGAAATAATGGTGCAAAATTTGGGAACTTGTAAAGCCCAAGTTGTTGGTCGCACGTTAATCATATAGTTGTTAAGGTTCTCTGATTTTGTACGATCAAATTCAGTGTCGTGCGGATTATATGTCTAGAGCGATTAAGTAGTCGACTTGTGCGTAATTCTTACTTTAATTACGTTGCTCTTTACTAGTCCTCCAATATTTGCATGCATATTTTATCTGTAGGAGAAATAACGAACACACGAAGGTACCGTGTTCAGACACCGTATTGTGCAAAACTTTGCGTAGGTAGTTAGTTTTTCAAAAATATTTTCACTCAAACAAAATTCATTTACTTGCACAATTTATTACCGATCTTATAATAATTCTTTTTCGAAAGTCATCTCAGAAAATAACAATGTATGTTATTATTCTAGACAGATTGTCATTAAAAAACACCAGATTTAAATATTTCCTCTCAGTTTTGAACTTAGGCTGGATTTTAAAACAGTGGAACATAAATTGATCTAAAAACAATGGGGTTTTTATTAAGGTTTTATTGAGTTTTTTTTTACATAACCGGATAAATTTAGGCAGAACGAATGTCTAGATAATAAAAAAATTGACTAGGTAATTCTTAGTTTAATTACGTTGAACTAAAATAGTTCCCAAATATTTACGTGCATATTTTACCTGTAGCAGGAATAGCGAACAAACGACGGTACTGTTCAGACACGATGAATTCTGCAAAAATTGTAAATTTGCATAGTTTGTTCTTCAAAAATATTTCCATCGGAACCAAATTCATTTACTTTTGAAAGTTATTACAGGTCTGAAATTGAATTTTTATATCAAAACTAGCTTAGCCTAAATCTGTTTTCGGCGCAAACTTTTTTTACTGTGTTGTATGCCTAATGTACTGGTCTGACATGCATTTGAGAACATTCAAAATTGAAAATTATGTAAAGCCAAAAAATCACTGGATAGGTCAGCATGTTTGTTAACTAAAACTGCGTATTGCGTAAGGTTTCTCAAGAAATACTAAACCTGGGTCATTTATTTCTGACTGGGTCCTATTAATAGAAAAAAATTGGACTCGTTGCTGACAACTTCCAAAGTTGACGGCAATATGTGTTTCGTTATTTTGTCCCCAATCAACTTTAGGTTAGATTTCGTATGAACAATAGATTGTATGACGAGGGAATTTATAGTAATCAATTTTTCTGCAATTTGTAATTTGCACTTCTCTATATTAGTCAGGTAATAATGTGACACGTACTTAATAATTATCTTTCGAGAGTCCTTAAAGTCATTTTAGAAAATAACAATGTAAGTTATTATTCTAGACATTTCAATAGATCGTCGACATGTAAAAAAATACATAAGCAAATCTTCCTTGTTAAATTCGAACTTAAGCTGGATTCTAAAGTAGTGGAGCTTAAATTAATCTAAAAAATAATGGTGTAAATTTATTACGGAAACTTGTAAAAATGCCCGAGTTGTTGGTCCCACTATCCTGCATTTGTTAGAGTTCGTCGTTTTTTTTGCACATCTGGACAAATTTAGGTGTACAGTAATTTGTCTAGAGCGAAGAATTTGTTCGACTATTTTAATTTGGTCGGGCAGTTTAGTCTGTACGTAATCATGGACTTCCTTTTACGTAATTCTTCATTTAAGCGTCTTGGACTAGATTTGTTCTCCAACATTTACGTGAATGTTTTATCTCTGAAATGGTGAACAAACGACGGTACTTTTTGGCCATTCCGAATTATGCAAAAACGGTAAATTTGCAGTTTGTTTTTCAAAACTAACTGGACTTGAGCTGGATGTCAAAACAGTGAAGTAGAAACTTAGAAATAATGGTGCAAAATTTGGGGAACTTGTAAAGCCCAAGTTGGTTGTCCCAGGGTAATCATGTAAGCACAATTTATTACCGATCTTATAACAATTATTTTTCGAAAGTCATCTCAGAAAATAACAATGTATGTTATTATTCTAGTCAGATCGTCATTAAATAACACCAGATGTAAATATTCCCTCTCAATTTTGAACTTAGGCTGGATTTTAAAGCAGTGGAACATAAATTGATCTAAAAAACAATGGGTTAAATTTATTTGGGAAACTTGTAAATGTCCATCGTAGAGTTTTTTTTTTTTTTTACATAACTGCCAGTTATTAACTGGACAAATTTAGGTGTAGAATGAATATTAAAAAGATTAAAAAATCGATTGGGTAATTCTTAGTTAATTACGTTGGACTAAAATAGTTCCCAAATATTTACGTGAATATTTTATCTGTAGTAGGAATAGCGAACAAACGACGGAACTGTTCAGACACGACGAATTATGCAAAAATTGTAAATTTGTATAGTTTATTCTTCAAAAATATTTCCATCCTAACCAAATTCATTTACTTTTGAAAGTTATTACAGGTCAGGTCTGAAATTGAATTTTTATATCATTCTTTATATGAGCTTGGGCTGTTTTCGTCGCTATGTTTTTTTTACTGTGTTGTATGCCAAATGTACTCGTATGACATATGCATTTAAGTTGAAAATTATGTAAAACCAACAAATATTTTATCTTGTTCATATAAGACTTGGAACTTGGATAGGTCGGCACTACGTATTAATTCGACCGATCGTCTAAACTTCGAGGGACTTCTGCGTGTTAACGTTTTGTCAAATGTATGATAGTGAAAACGATATGCGTACGAGTAAATATTTACTTGTCATTTATGATTCCTCCTATTTATCAAGTCGTAAAAGATGTTGATTTATTCTCCCTGAGTTTAAGACAAAGCTATAATTATTGATTCCATTAATATTTTTTTAATGTCAATTGATCATACAAAATTTGTATGACACCGTTTATCTCAAATTCTTTATCAATTTATTACTGTTTTACCAAATGTATCAGTAACTCAGTTAAACTAAATAAGGAATTCTGCGTATAGAATAGGCCATAACATCATCAAAGATAATTGCAGGATCTCTGTCTCAATTCTAACGCGTTATATATGTGAGCGAGGTTTCTTCTGGTGGAAGTAATATGCCAATTGGTCATATAAATTAAATCTGTGCTCCTTAAACAAGTTCAAAACAGTAGGAAACTCGGCCTGATGCATAGCTGAGAACGGGTAACATTCAGCTTTGATTCAAATTATGTTTTTGAAAGGATGTTGTAGATCCACATTGACGAAAATAAAAGTTGATTTTGATGGAGACTGGTAACGATGAAGAACAGGTGCCAAATCGCGATAAGATTTTAAACAAAGGCCAGTCTCTGCTTAGTTTCTCCAAATAAGCAAAAAATGCGCACAAAGTCAATCACTGCGAAAACTTTCCTTTGAATGGAGTCACTTGTTCACACGCATTCACACTAAAATAGTAAAATGTCCTTAAAATTTTGTTTTATTTATGTGGAGATGCATTTTTCTAACTTTGCCACGAATTATATTCCGCCATTTATTATATTCACTTATTTATTGTGGTATTGATAAATAAGTTATTAAATTTCGGTGCTGATTTTTTGCAGTAAAAAAATTCCAAGCTAATTCCAAATTTACCATGCAAAATGAATAATGTCTTCGTTAATGCGGAAATGCAAACAGGTGACATTCGATGGCGTGAATTTACCTTAATTAATTTTACTGCAACCTGTAATTTGCATTTTCTTATCAACATTTTTGGCTCCATAGGCTTTCGTGATCTTTGCTTTGTAATTACATATTAAGTTACGTGGTAGCAATTAGCGAGTAAGTAAACCAATTAAGCTTATGCGAAGAAAGTGCATATTCATATGAAACTTCGTAATGTTTGCATAAGAATTGGATTGATTTTATAGTCATTATTCATAAACATCATGCCATAATAAAGATAGGTGTCTAATATCATCTTATCATCCTTATGATGAGGTCGGGATATGTATATTTAACAATATGGTTGTATTAATTGATTTTATGAAATCTTAATTCTAAAGTGGGAATGATTTAAAATTTGTCAAATTCTCGGTAGAAATATACCTTGGACAATTGTAATGTCTCTCAGATTTACCACGGCTTTATGTGTTTTCGAAAATTGGTAGGTTACATGTGTGGAGTAGATATGTCCCAAAGATAGTTAGGTTGACCCCGTTAATGTTTGCCCTTGAACTTTGTGACACGGTTTAGCTAAATGTTTATCAATTTAGTACTGTTATACCAAATGTATCGGTAAATCAGTTGAACCCAATAATGACGATTCTGCACATAGCTTAGGGCGTAACATCCTCAAAAATTGATTTTAGGATCTCTAATTGAATAACTTTAACTTTTCAATTGTCTCGAATCTATTGAAAAATCACGTCTTGGTCAATAAACTCTACGATTGGCCCTCTATGTATTATACTTATTTATCGTGGTATTGTTAAATAAGTTGTTAAATTTCGGCTCCAATTTTTTTAGTGAAAATTTACCACGTCAATTCCAAGTGATAAATTGATCATGCCAAATGATTTACTTTGTTAACGCGGAAATTAAAACAGACCGAATTTAATGGTGTGAATTTGTATTGATAAATTTACTGCAATTTGTAATTTGCACTTTTTTATCATTCGATTAATTGCTGTTTTGTCCCCAGATCCATGGAGTTAAATGATTTTTGATTTTTAAATAATTGTATGCCACATTTTTTTCAACATTTTATGAGAACTTGAAAGCTTAACTTCATATCGTTGAGGCATACTGGTCTAAAATCTCTATCTAAAACGTAAAACCTACCCTATTCTAAATATTTTTTCCTATATCTTTTTTCCACGAATTAGGTACTAATATTATTTGGTATTGCTGTTATAATTTATAAAAAATGTTGGGAATTAAGTTGTAGTAATTCTTAAATTCTAATATAACTAATTATTTGTTTACAATATTTTCAACATACGTACCATACACACCGTAGTATTTAGTTTTACACGTACGTAGAAAATTATTACATATTTTTCGGTATTACTAGTTGTTCAAAATTATTGTAATCGATTTGTATTCCTAAATATTTGAGAGCACATTAATAAACAAAATCAAAGAGGTACATACGTAAATATGTATGTGTATCTGTTTTACTACAGCGTGTTATCAGCCCGACCGAGTCATAATTTACAGAGGTCGAATTGTCACATTTCCCAATCCGCTTATTCCTTTTTCAAATTTCGTATTTTTGCTTATCTCGGTTATCTCAATAATCATCTAACATTAAATAAATTTGTTAACCATGATGACCTTCACATTGATACGTGTGACCTTAATTTAATCTTCATCTCATTTGTCGTCGCACAAATTTTATAATTATTTTTATGCATCTTGTATCGTTTTTCCCCATTATTTCCAGAGCCAAACGCAGGAGCTTCCTGCACGATCAAAATTTTTCAGTAGAGTTTTAGCCTTTTAGCTCACTCTCGTCTTCCGAATTTGAAATTCTATTGGTTTAATATTATCAAAATGGATTCACACCCCGAAAAGAAGTGGAAATGTCATCATTGCTCGTGGACGTTTAAAGGCAAAGGTGATTTTGACCGTCATCTCATGACACACGACCCAAACGCAAAAGTCAAATGCAAGGTAAATGTTCCATGTTTTCTTTTTTAATTTAAACACATTCTAATATCACAAATCTACAAGTTAATAAATAAATCTTGCTTTGTAATTATTCAGATTTGTGGAAAGATTTTGAAGAATCCTGCCACCTTATCTGCCCACATGTCACATATGCACACCCGCCGCATCCGACCTGCTTGCAATATTTGTAAAGGAACGTTTTCGAACCTTGCCCATTTACGGAGACACATTGACAACATGCACCCCACCAAGGAACGACCTCGTTTACCGTGCGGATTTCCTGGTTGTGAAAAAACCTTCCGGAACAAGGATCAAATTCCGTGTCACATAAAAACTGAACATGTCGAGAATCCGGTCCGATTTCCGTGCGCACTTTGCGGAAAGGAGTTCAAAGCCAGAAGTCAACTTGGACAGCACATTTCTTCCCACACGACTGAGAAGCCATTTAAGTGTGCCACTTGTGGGAAGAAGTTCGGGTTTCTCGGGTACATGAAAAATCACGAGGTACATAGTTTACAGGAAATAAATTAGGGGGCAGAATATCAATTTATATTTATTTTATAGAAGACACATATTCAAAAGCCTGACCGGAAAATCTTCAAATGTCAACTTTGTCTGCAGACTTTCGTCGCAAGAGCAAATTTGCAGGGCCACATTCGGGTTATTCATGAAAATCAGAGGAATTATCGGTGCACATTTTGCGACAAGAGTTTCGGGCATCCATCAGCTTTGAAGAGTCACATGGAATGGAAACGCCACACGGATGAGGAGACCAAGATTTATTCTTGCGACAAATGTGAGTACAAGAGTCACTCGAAAGTCTATTTGGCTCAACACGTGAGACGTCATCATATTGAGAAGAGGCACGAGTGTTACTTTTGCAAGAAGCAGTTTGCTACCTTCAATGAATTGGTCGGACATTGTTGTCGAGTTCATACTCTTGAAAAGTAAATGTGTTTCGTTGCCCTTATAACTTTAGCAATTTTATTCTCGATGTATTGTAGTAATTTTCATGTGCAAGCGATATAAAGAAGTAAAAATGTAATAGGGGAACAATTTCCTCGGAGGAAATCTGTTCCGTTTGTTTTAAAGATATGTATGTAATGCATGTTAAAAATATGTATAGTGCAGAATTATTTAATTAATCTCACTTTTCCCACTAATTATCTAAACATGAAAGATTTGAAATAAATTTATCAACCATGATGACCTTCACCTTGACACGTGCCACCTTAATCTTCAATTTTTCATCGCATTTTTCGTCGCAAAAATTTGATCATACATAGTATTCTTTCGCCGAGAATGAGAATCTTGTATCGCATTTCCCCACTGGTTTCATGGTGAGAGCCAGTATTTACCAGTTCTTCCTGACTGAACGAGTAAAAATTTGAAATTTTGCAGTTTTCGTCTAGATTTGAAACTGTAATTTTTGTGTAACTGCACTATTATCAAAATGGATTCAAACCCAGATGATCAGTGGAAATGCATCCAGTGCTCACTGACGTTTAAATACAGGACCCCATTTGACCTTCATTTTCTGAATAAACACAATCCAAATGCCATTAAAGTCCAATGCGAGGCATTGCGAGGTCAGTTGATTTTTAAGACTACTTAAAAATCTACAAATAAATAAATTAATGTCTGTTTGTTTACTATATATTTATTCAGATTTGTGGGAAAATGTTGAAGAATCCTGTCACCTTAGCTGCCCACGTGTCACATATGCACACCAACCGGATCCGACTTTCTTGCAATATTTGCAATGACACGTTTTCGAACCGAGGTCATCTACAGAGACATATGGACACCGTGCACCCCACGAAGGAACAGCCTCGTTTCCCGTGTGGATTTCCTGGTTGTGAAAAATCCTTCAATAGAAAGGATGGTGTTTCGAAGCACGTAAAGGTGGGTTTACTTGCGCCAAAATGTTGTAGTTTAACTATGTCGAGAATGCTTCTTTTGTAAGAAAATAATTGGTAAACAAAATATTTATTTTACAGAGTACACACATGCAAAAGGTTGGCCGAGAAACCTTCAAATGCCAACTTTGTCCGCAGACAAGAACCAGTAGAGAACGCCTTCAGAACCACATCCGACGTGTGCATGAAAACCAGAGGAATTATCCGTGCACATTTTGTGACAAGAGATTCTCCAACTCATACCATTTGAAGCGTCACGTGGAGGTGATACATGCCACGAACAAAGAGCCGATCCATTCCTGCGACAAATGCGGGTACAAGAGTCACTCGAAACACTATTTGACCATGCACGCAAGACGGCACAATGCAGGGAGGCACGGAAGTTAATTTTGTTGGAAGAAATTCATCACTTTTAACGGATTGGTAAAATAATGTGGCAGTACTTTTCATCCATAGCCTTCCTTAAATTTTATATGTAGTTGTCCACACTGCACTGACTTCTCGTGACCGTTCTATTTTAAGTATTAGTTATTCTGACCCAAGGATTAGGGTTTAAGCAACCGTTTTTCTCTCATTTGCATGCCTAGTACATAAGTATGTATACTTTCATGTGTACTGTACTTGGAAAATTCAACCTTTTTCATAACCAGACATCACACATTTCAATCCGCATTGTTCGTCTATTCACTTAACTGTTCATTATACAACGAGGTAATATGTAAGCGTATCTTAGCGCACTAACTAAAACGAATGAACTTTTGTTAACAAATTCAGAAATATATTTGCAGATTAAATTTGTTGTTTTCAAAATCTTGTAAACGTAAATACTTATTTTTACATTCCAAGAAAATTTGACTTAATTAGTCAAATTAGTAATAGTTCCGGCGTAATAGTTCCGTCCGATTTTTTGACCTATTTTTTGACCGCCCTGAAAAGATCGTTATTGCACACGAAATTCGGTGCCACGCCCTGAATGGTATTTATCTCCTTGTCCAACGAGGATACGAATTTCTACGTCAAAGTTGAAGGCTTGAGTCTTTCATGGACTTTAGTTTGGCATCGTACTTCCATACACGTGAACTAATTCCAGAACACGGATTTACGTGCGAAAATTGGTAGGTTACATATCCGGAATTAGTAAATCGCGCATGTACTGACCATAAGCTCAGAATTCTGTTAAGATTGGAACTGAAACTATTTTTATTCAGATTAACCATAGAGTTACATAGTAATTACGTAGTAAACTTTGTTGGCAAGAGTACTTTTTAGGAATTATCGCGTTTCTTTTACCCCATTATTTCCTGGCGAGTGCAAACCTCAAATACTTTTTTGTCATCGCTCTCTCTGAACGAGCCAAAATTTTGCATCCGGAATTGAAATTATTATCTTTTTTATCCAGTTTTACTACAATCGAAATGGATTCAAACCCAGAAAAGAAGTGGAAATGCCTTCATTGCTCATTGGCGTTTAAACGGGAACGGGACTTTAACCGTCATCTCGTGACCCACGACCCTAACGCAAAAGTGAAATGCAAGGTATTTTTTTAATTTAAACGTATTCTAAAATTTGAAATTACAATCTAATCAACAAATCCTCCTCCTTTGTTTAGGATTGTGGGCAGATTTTGAAGAATCCTGTCACCTTGTATCGCCACGTGTCACATATGCACACCAACCGGGTCCGACCCGCTTGTAATATTTGTAACGATACGTTTTTCAACCATTTCCATTTACGGAAACATATTGACAACGTGCACATCAAGAAGGAACGACCTCGTTTCCCGTGTAGATTTCCTGGTTGTGAAAAAACCTACCTGAACAAGAGGTCTCTTTCGGCACATACGAAAACTGACCATGTCGAGAATGCTGTCCGATTCCCGTGCACGCTTTGTGTTAGAGGTATGTATTTACGGATCGTTGTAAGGAAAGACAGAGTGACGACGACTTTTGTGCAAAGTAAAAATAAGAGTGTCAATTTATTACGCAGAGGTTTTTGCTTTTATACATGAATGTACTTAATGCTAAAGGTTTCTACCTGAAAACTAATGTCTGGACAATCTACCTGGAAAAAGGCATGAGCAGGAAATGGCCTCAATTTAAGTAATAAAATCTTGTCCAGTCAAAATTCAAAACATCAAATTCAAAGAAAAGTTATTGCTGGAAAATCATAAAGACATAACAAATTTCCATGACCTAAATAGAACTTTCTAGAATGTCATAAAATTAGACAAAGCATTTTTTATCCTAAAAACTATTTTCAACACCCTTCCTATTTGATGCTTTTGATTTGTCATCTTTTAATCAGAATCACTTTCACTTTCACGTAGCTCGGTTGAAGGGGCGCTTGGTTGTGGTTTGTTTGGGAGTTCTTGTTTTCTTGGTTTAGGTTTAGTTGTCGTCTTGGGTTGAGTCTTCGTCTTCGTCTTTGCATAATGGATTATCATTCCACCAACCAGAGTGATAATGACACAGATGCAGCCAAAAGTTGTCCAGGTCATTGGGTGAGACATGAGATTGGACCCTTCCTCAGTTTTATTACTTCCATCAGTCTCCTCCATGGGGTGCTGCTTGAGGCTGGTCAAGTTAACTCGTGGGCGGAGATGCATATTAGTCCTCATAGCATTTAGGATGTCTGTGGGTTCGACATGGTCCAGATTGGTTTGGCTGCCTGTGTAAGATACATTATTAATTATGAAACTTGCTATGAGTGGCAAGGCAAAGATGAACTCCGGGCAGGGCATCATTCTTCCATCAATGGTAATCTGTGATAACGGTAATAGATATAGTTCATCCCATGGTAAGGCTTCACTTGGATGAAGTTTCTCTCATCTCCTTCTTGAGTCAATTCGCATCTGCCAATGCCAAAGTGTTGATTTTCATTGTCTGTGAGTGGTTTCTCACAGCCTGAGTCGGGAGAGAGGATCAGGTCGTGGCGAGCCTGGTTCTTGAGATTTACAGAGTTTACACATCCATCTTTTCCATTTACAATGATGTGTGTTGGTCCAGTCCAGATTAGGGAGCATGTTTGGTTTTCTTTCCTCATCATCAGTTTGAATTGGTCGACCTCAAGAAGTTGTAAGTTTCTGTCAATTCTCGGCACATCAAATTCCATGTATAAATCTTGCAGATTCTCATGAAAACGACAGTTTCGAGATTTTGCCAAGTTTAATGGGCAGTCGTCTCCACATGGCAGGGTGAGATTAAAGTAGTCCATGAGTCCGGCATGTACTTTCTTCTGCTTCCACTGTCTGCGGGCTTCAATAATTATTTGTTTTGCTAATACCATTCGTGAGGTTATGAAGGATATGGCAAAGTTGGTCGAGGTCTGCTTCATCTTTAGCTCATCAAAGTCTTCGGTGTGCTTTTCAAACTCGTCCACCATCGTGTTAAAATCGGTTTGGAGTTTTCGGACTGCAATATTCGTGATGTTCAGCCTTCCCTCCAATTGTTCAATTAGTTCCGCTTGTTGAGCTTGTGTTGATTTCAAGCCTTCAATCGATACTCTATTTGCTATAGAAAGTCCAAGTGCTACGGCTGAGCCGACAACCACCACAGCAGCAATAATGAGGATTCCAATGACTGTGATGAATCGTTTGGATATGGAGTGAGCAGCATGGTGAGTTGTAACTCCGTAGTCTACTGGGCACATTTCCGCCAATTCCTTGATAAAATGAGTCTTGTAAATTTCCTCACATTTGATTTGGGCGATTCTCGTTATGTCGGTGTGTAAGATTTCACTTGTTAAGAGGGAGCACGGATTGATTAATTTGATTCTGAGATGCACTCTTTCATTTCCAATTGTTACTGGCATATCCGTCTTCCTCCATAAAGTGGGCTCAGCATTCTTGAGTATTATTCCATTCACGGCAGGGCATATGACACACGTCATCATCATTAGTGCGGTGCAATATGCATTGGGAGAAAGGCAGCGAGATTTTGTGTTGATGAATTTCCTTCCCTTCTCGCTGACTTCGGGCTCCTCCTTAGTCTTGAGTTGCAACGCCTTCCCTTGTTTTGCATGCCCTTCCTTGGTCGGAGAAGGAGAGACATTTTGCAAAGAGAGTTGCTCTCTCATCTCAAAATGCTTATTCTTCTGCAATGGTTTGGTAAATCCATCCGCCTTCTGGTCATTTGTTGGTATGTAGGAAACTTGAATCACTTCATTTTGCACAAGATTTCGCACAAAGTGGTATCGGACATCGATGTGCTTGCTTCTTTGATGAAAATCTTGGTGATGTGCTAATTTAATTGCACTCGTATTGTCCACAAACAAGTCCATTGGATGAGAAGAGTTAATCCCCAGTTCTTGCAAAAATGATCGCAACCAAATCGCTTCTTTAGCGGCGGTGGCGAGAGCTATGAATTCGGCTTCTGTGCTCGAGACAGCTACGATGGGTTGCTTTTGAGAGAGCCAAGAAATTGGGGTATTATTCATTAGAAAGACAAAACCAGTGATGCTCTTTCTTGTTATTTTGTCAGTCGCGTAATCTGAATCACAATAGCCTTGAACTGTGATTTCTTCGCATGGTTGAAATTCTAGACCGAGGTGGATTGTTCCGCTTAAATATCGCAAAATATCCTTTGCTGCTTGCCAGTGTGGTTCAGCATAACCACAGCAGAACTGGGAGAGTCGGTTTACTGCGACTGCAATATCTGGTCGTGTGGTGCGAGCAAGAAAAAGAAGTGACCCAATGAGCTCTCGGTAGGGAAGAGTAAGGTCACATTTTTCTGCAATTTCCAACTGTAAGTTCAGAGCCATTGGCACCGTTGCAGGTCGTGATTGAGCCATGTTGAATTTTTCTAGTAGAACTTGAATGGATTTGCCTGAGTGTAGGATGAGAGTTCCTGCTGCCTTGTCCTGAGTGATGCACATCCCCAAAAACTGATTGAGTGGGGGTGTGGTGATTTGAAAAGCAGTTCTGAGATGGTCCAAAACTTGATTTATTACTTCCTTGCTGCTGGAAATAATTAGACCATCATCGACGTAATCCACTAGGAATACAATAGCTGAGAGTTTTTTGCTTATGTAAACCGAAGAATCACTAGTAATTGGGACAAATCCAAGTTTCAATAGGACTTCTTCCAGACGCTTCTTCCACTCGTGCGAGCTTTGTCTTAGTCCGTATAATGCGCGTAGGATGAGCCAGACTTCATCATCATTTCCGTTGTGGAAGGGATGAGGCTGATGCATATAGACTTTTTCTTCCAGGTATGCATTCAAAAATGCAGATTGGACATCGAATGCTTGAATATGTAATCCTTTTGCGATTGCCACAGCTATCATGATTCGGACGCTCTCATAACGAGCTACTGATGCGAATGTTTCATTGAAATCTATTCCATACCGCTGCTTGTAGCCTCTAGCACATAACCGTGCTTTCAGTCGATCAATGGAGTTGTCTGGATGCCTTTTGATTGCATAGACCCACTTGGCATCTAAGGGTCGAACGCCTTCAGGTTTCTTGACAATTTTGAATGTTTTGTTTCTCAGTAAACTTAAAAATTCTTCATTCATTGCAGCCATCCATTCCTTCTTTTGTGGGGAATCCAATGCCTCTTTTAATGATTTGGGTTCCTCTGTGAGAGTAGTATTAAGTGCATAATACTGGAGCCGTGCTGGTGACTTCAGTTTTGTGCGATCTCGTAATGCATGAGAATGTGTAGGCTGCTGTGGGTAAATTTCTTGTGCATCTTCTTGTGGAGCTGGCCCATGTTCTTCTTCTGCTGCTTCTGCTGGTGGTGGTTCTTGCTCATCTTCCTCTTCTGCTGGTGGTGGTGGCGGTGCGTCTGCTTCTCCAGTCTCACCATCATCCTCGTCATCCTCATCTTCAAAATGAACACGGCGTGGGGGTGGAGGACTAAGGGCAGGGAAGGTGGTCTTCTTCTCCAGTAATGCTTCTTCAAATTTGACATCATGCGAGTAGAAAATTTGCTTCTTTGCAGGGTCATAGAGAAGATATCCTTTCTCTTCGGAGTAATATCCCATAAACATGCATTCTCGTGCTTTTTGATCAAGGCAGGTGCGCAATTGTTTAGGGATATGAGCAACACCGGGGCAACCCCAAATTTTAAAATTTGCCAAATTTGGTTTGTGCTGGAGCACTGCTTCACATGGGGTCATTGTCTTGGAGTGGCTATTGAGTAGTCTGTTCTGGATGTAGACAGCACAACCAATGCTTTCACCCCACAGAAATTTAGGGGCATTTGCATGCAACATCATTGTTAGAGCAGCTTCTTTCACCGTTCTGTTTTCTCGTTCAACTGGGCCATTTGATTCCGGCGTGTGGGGGGCGCTTAATTGGTGCATGATCCCCTCGGAGTCCAAGTAGGCATTCATCTCAGCAGAGACGAATTCAAGTGCATTGTCTGTAAATATGACCTTCATTCGGTTTCCAGTTTGAGTTCTCATGAAAGGGACAAAATGCTTCACATTTTCATATGCATCGCTTTTCTTCTTCAGAAAGTAGACTGCTTTGAATCCAGTGACGTAATCTTTCATCAGTAAATAATAGTGGTGGCCTCCTAGAGATTGAACTGGCATTTTTCCACTCTCATCCATGAATATGATTTCTCCAGGTTTGGCATTTGGAAAGCGATCAATGCAAGAAGGGAAAGGCTGACGTGTTGATTTACCAAGTAGGCAAGAATGGCATGCAATTTCTTCCTTTATCTCTTCGTACTTGATTCCATTTACGGCTCCAACCTTCACACTATTCTTAATATTTTTCATATTGCAATGAGCAAGTCTTGAATGCCATGTATGTGCAGTAGTTACGACGTATGCTTGAGCTGGTGGCTGTGTTTCTGGTTCAGATGCATAATCTTCTTCTTCACTAAGTATGAGTTCCGTATTGGGGCGAAAGCGCATGCAGTATAATCCATGCTGTCTAAAAGCTGATGGGCCATCTCCCCCATTATTTCGGAACAGGTTGATATTTTGCTTGTCCACTACTGCATAATATCCCTTTTCCGTTGCTGCTCCAACTGAGAAAAGGTTCATCGCTCCTCTGATGTAGAGAACGTTATTCAGGGTACACGGAATCCATTCTTCTCCTATGTAGGCATCAACAATAACATCTCCTCGTCCCATTGCTTGGGCTGTTGTCTTATCCGTTAACGACACCATGATTGGGTCAGCAAACTCTTTGTAAGTGGTGAACCACTTAATGCTTCCTACAACGTGCTGGTCTGCTCCCGTGTCCGCTATCCATAGCTGGCTGGTCTCTTCACTGGTTTCCAGCGTCATAAACGCGTGAGGAGGATTTCTATCTTGTCTGTGTTGGGTTGACACAGTTCCTCGGTTATCAGTTCGCTGCTGCTGATTTGTATGATGACGTTGCTGCTGCTGCTGATGCTGCTGATTCTGTTGTTTACCATCATTATTGCCATTTTCAGTTTGCATCCTTTTGGGGGCTCTGCATTCAGCCCACCAATGACCTGTGCGGTTACAGTTTCTGCATTTTGTGCGGCGCTTCAGCTCGTCCACTTTGTTTTGTTGACGCTGCTGAGGGAATTTCTTGCTTGTGGCATATGCAACAGCTTTTTGTTCAGATGCGGAATGCTCTGGATTTTTCAGTTTCATCTCCATTTCTTCCATTCTTAGGCGATTAAGTAAGGCATCCATTGTTTGTCCTCCGTCGGTCACGCTGTGCCAAGCCTTTCGGAAAGCGTGGTAACCATCAGGGAGGGCTGAGACAATTTTTGTTACTACTGCACTCTCCTCCATCTTAATGCCAAGCTCGCTAAGTGATCTGGCGAGATCTTCAATTTCAGCGAAAGCGTCTACTGCAGATTCTCCGTCTTTAATTTTGAAATTGTAGAACTTGGTCAACGTGTTCTGCTTATTGAGTTGACTCCCATCAGAATGCAGGGATGCCAATTTCTTCCACATTGCGGCAGCCGTGTCGCAATTGTAGACATGATTTGTTTGTCTCTTATCAAGGAGTGGGACAATGATTGCCATTGCCTTATTGTTCTCCAGCTCCCATTTCTTCAGGGCGGCGGCATCAGTTCCATCCGGTTTTGCAGAGGAACCATCTGTTACGGCCCAAACCTCACTTGCTTCGAGGATGAGTGAGACTTGCAATTTCCATCGCTGGTAATTACCCCCGTCCAGGATAATTACGTGGGAAGTGTCGATTCGTCGTGATGTCATCTTCTCTTCAGTGTGACAAAGCGAAAGCGAATGCGAAAAAGGTTACTTTACCAGATTACAGTAGTGGATGAGTGGGTGAGAGGCCTCTTCTCCGTTTACGGCTGCTTAATGGCTCGACTGGATCAGGTTTCACTCTGCAACTCGACTCGCTATACTGTTTCACTGCACAAAGTTCTCTCACTTTCGTTTTCGATTGCTACTGTTGAGAATGATTCACTGTTCAATGCACTGCGTAAACTTCACAATTTACTTCCTCACGTCTCAACTTCTCGTTCTGTTCAATTTTTCACTTGTGCACTTCTCGTACTGTTCAGTTTTCACGTTCTGTTCAATTTTTCACTTGTGCACTTCTCGTACTGTTCAGTTTTCACGTTCTGTTCAATTTTTCACTGTGCACTTCTCGTACTGTTCAATTTCTTGCAATGCTGGACACTTAACTTGAAGCAATTGCAAGTAGGTTTCGTCTCAATTTTCTCGAAAATTTAGCAATTCTTATCTTCCCCAACCGACACGCTTTGCTACCATGTTAGAGGTATGTATTTACAGATCGTTGTAAGGAAAGACAGAGTGACGACGACTTTTGTGCAAAGTAAAAATAAGAGTGTCAATTTATTACGCAGAGGTTTTTGCTTTTATACATGAATGTACTTAATGCTAAAGGTTTCTACCTGAAAACTAATGTCTGGACAATCTACCTGGAAAAAGGCATGAGCAGGAAATGGCTTCAATTTAAGTAATAAAATCTTGTCCAGTCAAAATTCAAAACATCGAATTCAAAGAAAAGTTATTGCTGGAAAATCATAAAGACATAACAAATTTCCATGACCTAAATAGAACTTTCTAGAATGTCATAAAATTAGACAAAGCATTTTTTATCCTAAAAACTATTTTCAACACTTTGTGACAAAGAATTTAAAACCAGAGGTGGACTTCGACGACACATTCCTTCCCACACGAAAGAAAAGAAGACGTTAAAGTGTACCACTTGTGGGAGGAGTTTCGCCCATAGGGGAAGCCTCAAACGTCACGAGGTACTTATTTTGCAGGAAATCAATTAGTAAACAAAACTTAAATTTATATCAATTTTATAGCGGACACATATTCAAAAGTCTAACGCCACACGGATACGGAGGCCAAGATTTATTCCTGCGACAAATGTGAGTACAAGAGTCATTCGAAAGTCTATTTAGCTCAACATGTGAGACGCAATCATATTGTGAAAAGGTACACGTGTTACTTTTGCAGGAAGCAGTTTGCTACCTTTTATCAATTGGTGAGACACTGTAGTCGTGTTCATACTCGCGAAAAGTAAATTGTGCTTACAATTTTGTTTTCGGTTTACTGTAGTAATTTTCATGTGGAAGCGATGTAAAGAAGTAAAAATGCATAATGCATAGGAATAATTTCCTCCGAGGAAATCTGTTTAATCATTAAACAGATTTCCTCGGAGGAAATTATTCCTATGCATATTTTTATATGATTAAACTTTAATCATATAAAAATGTGTATGGTGTAGAATTAAACAATTCATCTCACATTTCCCAATGATCATTTAACATGAAAGATTTGAAATCAATTTATCAACCATGATGACCTTCACCTTGACTTGTGTAATCTTCAAATATTCATCTAATTTTTCGTCGCAAAAATTTTATCAAATTATTTCGCCGAGACTTTTTAGTTTCCCCCTTGTGAGCCCTAAACTATTTCCTTTCTCAGCGCTTCCTGAACGAGCCAAAATTTTGCAGTTGAGCTCTTGTCCTCTGGAATTGAAATTTTTATCTTTGTGTATTTGTACTATTATCAAGATGGATTCGAACTCAGAAAATAAGTGGAAATGCACCCAGTGCTCCTCGACGTTTAAATGCAAGACCATATTTGACCGTCATATTCTGAATAAACACAACCCAAATGGCAAAGTCGAATGCAAGGTAGTGTTTCTTTTTTTAACTTTTTTAATAAAATCTAATTACAAATCTACTAATTAATAAATAAATCTTCCTTTGTTGACTATTAATTTAGATTTGTGGAAAGATTTTTAAGAATCCTCCCTCCTTATCTGTCCACGTGTCACAGATGCACACCAACCGGATCAGACTCTCTTGCGATATTTGCAACAACACGTTTTCGAACCGGGCAAATTTACAGATGCACATTGATACCATTCACAATTTGGAACGAACTCGTTTCCAAGGTGGATTTCCTGGTTGTGACAAAACCTACCTAAAACAGAAAAGCATGTTGAACCACGAACAGGTGAGTAACTCACCGCACTTTTTGGTAACTTGCGCCAAAGTTACAATTTAACTATCTCAATCTCACATGTCGAGAATGCTTATATATTTTGTACGAAAAAATTAATAAACAAAATATCAATGCGTATTTATTTTACAGAGGATTCACATAAAGGATGACCTAGAAACCCTAAAGTGTCAACTTTGTCAGCACACTTTTGCCAGAAAAGACACCCTGACGAAGCACATTCGGGTTGTTCATGAAAATCAGAGGAATTATCCGTGCACATTTTGTGACAAGAGGTTCTCCCAATCAGAAGAGTTGAAGGCTCACGTGGAGGCAAAACATGTCACGAATAAGGAACTGATTCACTCCTGCGACAAATGCGACTACAAAAGCTACTCGAAAAGATATCTTGCCCAACACGTGAAACGCCACAATGCTCGGACCAATTTTGTGGGAAGAAATTCGTCATCTTTGCCGAATTAGTAAAATACTGTAGCTTCATTTATACGTTGGATAAGTAGAAATTTTGTATACAGTTTTGAATACAGCATTAAATTTGCATTACGATATAAGTACTAGTTTTGAATTATTATCTTTTAATTCCTATTAATTCCTAATTATTCCTAAAACATTCTGGTGTGGAAAATTTATATATTTTCGTGTTACATATCTTCACATACATAATTGCTATTGCATAAACAAATGTTTCAAAATCTAAGGTTACACCTCGTGGGTCACCCTTATGTCGATAACGAATCACGGATTGTGGGAATGGGCTTTAACAGTTTGATGTTCTACCTCGATAGAATTATAATGTTGCGATAGATTATTTAAAAAAGTGATCTTAAGTACGATTGTAGTAAAAAAAAGTTCAAAAAATGCAGCGAATCTAATAAATAAGTACGACTGTAGTTCGTGACGCACATTTCCAGGTATCATGCGTCAACTTTTCCACATTGCACTGACTCCTTGTAATGTTACAAGGAGTCATTTATTTAAAGCAAAGATATTCTTTTATGGCATTGGCTATTTTGATCCACAGGATTGTAATAACTGTTTTATCTTCAGTTGCATTGCACACCTGGTGGCTGTACTTAAAAAAGGCAACCTTTCTCGCACCATGCAACACACCACTCGTGTCATTTACTTCACAGGAATTATTCCTGAGAACTGCCACGACTGAAGTGACCACAATAAAACCAGCTAATTCATAACGCATATTAACATGCTAACTTACTTATTTAACACTTTGTGAACAAACTCGGAGATATATTTGCAGATTAACCTATCCCCGTTTGGACAATTAAATACATACTCACAGAGTCTAGATGGATTTTAACCTAGGAATGAATTGGGAATGCCATGAGTGGTTAGAAATGTTCGAATTTGATACGAATTATGCTCAGCGTCCCGTCATGCATGACCCCGACGCGAATGTGAATCGTGAGGTGAGGAATTATCTTAATTTAGAAGATGGACGGTAATTTTATTTTTACTTATCTTATGTTTTAAATAAGAGACTTTATACACGTAAAGCTTATAGCGGACAGTCTCTTAGAAATTTAAAAATCAATTCATGCATGCGCATTTTATTTGCAGGGGACACACTTGGAGAAATCGAGCCGAGAGATTTTCCAGTGCAAGCTTTGCCCTGCAACTTCCTTCTGGAGATCTAACTTACAACGCCACATCGAAGTTATGCATGGAAATGAGAGGAATTATCCGTGCTCATTTTGTGACAAGAGATTTTCCTCCTCGTCGAATTTGAAGTGCCACGTGGAAGCGAGACACTCCGATTTCAAAAATAATTACCTCTGTGACAAATGCGAGTACAATAGCCACTCGAAGTATAATTTAGCGAAACACGTGAGAATTAAACATACTGCGAATCCTTCTGCGGCATGAAGTTTGGCGAATTTTCCGTCACTACGGGAAAATTCGTACCATGGAACAGTAACATTTAGATAAGTTTTCTTTGGTCCCATGTTGGTATCTTTTTTATTTGTATTTAAAATATTTTCAAGTGAAATTTCTTTTCCTTAAAAGATGTATATCTATGTTTTTATATTGGTTCAAAACTTCAGATTTTTATAATCCCTTGGACAGCACTATGTTACCGGCTGAAGGCAAAACAATTTATTTAGCTCACGACATTCATTACAACATATTTATATATTTTCAACTATTTCATTTGATGACGACCTACTATCAAACTATGTGCGTATATGTTTTCTAACTCTTATTGGTCTCACATATTTCAATACAGTTTTACTTATTGTTATACATGTTTCAAAGTTTTCATACATTGAAATAGTTTTTAATTTTTAGGTTACATATTGCTCGAAAGGTGAATAAACCTTTTAGATGTTTTTTTCAGAGGTACACGTATTTAGTAAATGCTTTGACGTTTTTGTCGTAAATATTATAGATGCATATTTTAGCGATTTTTGGTACATACATACATTCACGGTTACTTCCTAAGTACTTACAGCGTATCAAAATTCGGTGCCCTAAACCTCCTAAAAGAGAAAAAGGGATGACTTCATAATTTCACATCCACATCTACGATCTATTTTTTATGGCAATTCAAAAATCAAAAATCCAGCTGCCAAAGCTTACCTATTTGGGCACCGTCAACTGAACTTCGTGACGTACATTTCCAGGTATCACTATAAACTTTTCCACACTGCACTTTCTACACGACTCCTTGTAACCTTTCTATAAATACTAAATATAGCATATATTTGATTTAAAGCATTGACTATTTTGGTCCAAAGGATTTTCATAAAGGCTTTTCCTTCAGTTGTACCCATTGTGGCTGTAATTTAAAAAATCAACCTTTTCATATATGAAAATATATGATTTCATATATCATTTCATTTGATATATTTCATATATCTTTTCATATATATATGATTTGCTATAGCAGATTTGCTACAATTGGTTTAAACATATAGAGTTTGAATTCATGCATATAAATCTGTTCAATGCATTTGATGGCAATGGGTTGTAACATCCAAACCCAGGCTCGTCTGATTAACGACCTGGATGGGATATCCTTCAAAATAAATCTTTATGAATATTTAATTTACTTCAGTTCTTGGTTGGCCACCAAGAACTCGAAACATTAGCAGAGATAGGACAAGTAGTCCACCTTAAAGATAAGGATGTCTCTGTTACAGGATGTAGCTGAGACATCAGCCAATTAGATTAATTTTGAATGAGGAGAGTATCTCTCCTCATTCATTCTCCAGTAGAGATAAAATTTAGGATTAGTTCAGGTTCATTCCATCTGAACCCACACGATCGTCGTCGCACCCATATTTGATATCTTGTCCACAATTATATAGTTGCATAATATAAAATAAAACATATCATAAAAATCAAAATTTGAAAATTAATTTTTTCCGCAAAGATATAGCATTTAAAAGAAAATTTGCAAATGCATTGAAAATGCTTTCGTCGCGAAAGTGTTGGTTCAAAGGGGTAGGTTACATTTACAGATTTCATTCATTGATCATTCTTTGCTATGAAAAATTTTAAAAAATTCAAAAATTTAAAAAAATCTGAAATTTGAAATGTATTTAAAAACTCGATTATCGAGAAGACGGACAAGAATCGCTCATTGGGAGATAAGCCAATCGATGCCTTTGGGCCTGAGGAAACAAAAAAGCTTAAAACCCCACGCGATTTTTGTCCGTCTTGGAGTTTTGCCAATTTTTCCAAAAGGTAAAATTAACATGGGCTGCTTGTGTAGACAGTAGTAAATAATTCTGTGTTCCTACGTGGCCGGGAACATTGACAAAGTGTGAGTTGTGTAGTGTTCTCTTGCAAAATCATAGATAATATTAATAATTAGATAACGCGAGTTCGATACTTTGTTCTCAAAGCAACATGTCGGATTTTTCCCATACCTGGAGCTGAATTCAGTATGCGATTTTAGTTAACTTCGTTAAGAAGGTCCGTTTTCTGTGGTGTACGAAGCCGGTGCACTGAATTCGCCTCCAGTTATGGGAAATGGGACAGATTGTAGGGAGCATCCATCCCATTACGTTATATAATTCAAATGCATTATTGTGGATTATTTTTCATAAGTTTTTGAATTTCACACTTAATTTCAGAAATTTAAAAATGCACCGTAGTAAGTGGATGTGAAGTTAGCTTAAGCGACAGGAGAGGGCTCGTCAGCTGTGTTATTTATTTTATTTCGCACAAATACATGGTGTCGTACCCCTTTGTGCAAAATAGAGAAAAATACATGGCCAGGCAACCACCACCAGGGAGCAGGGTTTAGCACCTCTATTTCCTGGTACTCGATCAAACGTAGTGCTTACAAATGGAATGAGCCTTCAGTTGAGATTTAGCTTTAGACTCTTCAAGTCACAATTTGCCATGTAATAAATGTACATATTATGCATATGGTTTTCAGTCGCTCGACTTGGCTCTCCCACAATTTATGAGCATATTTCGGCCACACCACATTTCTGGGATATGCATCGGGTTATAGCATATTGAATTTTGATTGGTTTGATTGGTTAATATACAGGGTGGTTTAAATGTCAAGTTACAATGGAAAATTTTTTAATGTGAAAAATTTTTAAATTTCCATTAGTTACGGATTTGGGATTGAGATTTTTATTAATTTTTATTAAAACTTATGACAAAATTCTTAAAATATTGAATTTCAGAGGCAAAATTTAGGTAACTAATGGATATTTGCGAATTTTTCCCATTGCAAAATTTTCCATTGTAACCTGACATTTAAACCACCCTGTATATGGTACAATTTTTGTGGAAAGGTTATTACATATTGTTCGCTTTTAAAATAGAATTACCTTTTTCCTCCAGTTGCACAAGCAAGTTTGAGAAAGAGCTTGGTAAAATTTTGTGGGATAGCCTTTCATAGAGGGGAAAACTATTGAGTTGAAAAAAGCATAATTTACATGAGTTGGGAAAGTTCATACTTCACGGTTTCAAAAAGATTGCAAATACAGAAGGTGTGAAATTCGTACTTCTCATGTCATACATACAAACGTATGTACAGTATGTAACAAATTTAATGCTACGATGACAAAATTTTTATATCGACATGAACGCGTAAATTTTAAAATTTCAAACTCCGCACAAAAATCTCAAAAGTATATACGGACAATTTCCTCGTCGTCGATTTTTAATATCGCACAAAGGTCAAAGGTCACCATTATTTTTGTGAACAAATTTGAGGCGTCGAAAAAAAAACTTCGTGGATAATTTTTTTTGAACTTTCTAATATTTTTTATCGGATACGACATGCGTTTTGAAGAAAAATGAGCTCTGGTCGGACCGTGTACGATTTTTTTGACGCCCACAGGAATTTTTCGCCAAGGACAGGTCGAAGGCCTAAAATCGCCACCGCGGCGAAAATTCGAAAACTGAAATACACGTTTGCATGTCGGGACTTTCAATATGCAAACGTATATTTCAGTTTTCGAATTTTCGCCGCGGTGGCGATTTTAGGCCTT